AAAATTCATATCCAAGTCAAAGCTGACTCATGTTGTCAGTTCCTGCTATTTATTGTGTTACTCAGAACAACAACCAGCCATGGTCTCAGCTGTCACGTAAGCTGTAATTCATGTGAATGCTAGAAAGGAAAAAGTAGAAATCTGAATTGAAACAAGATGTTTGGCTGATATGGAAATGTTTCAGCTGGTCTTGGTGAAAACCTGCAGAGTGCTGGGAACCTTCAGTGTGAAGAAAGCCTGGACGCTGAGCAGCAGCTGAAATCCAGATACATCCTCACAGCTGCAAGCATCAGAGTGGAAAACTGGAAAGAACCTGACAGTACCAAGAAATAATACAAAACTGTGCTCTCTTGAAACTAAGTGAAACTATTCTTGGTGTCTTTTCTCCAACACCAAGAATTTCATGAACAACTGAGTTAAGTGCCATGGACACTTATTGCTGGATACTCACAAGCAAGGTTCTTTAAAGAGCCATTGGCCTAAAACAGGTACCTGCAGGAGGTGACTCAGTCCACTCAATGCAAACTTTGTCTCTTTCCATTGTCTGTATGGTAAATTCAAATACAGGAATGTGAGCCTTAGCTCCTGATCCTAACATGCTAAATGTCCCAATACCAAAACAAATAAAACGCAATCCAAAAACTCCCCTCATCCAAAACAAGACACTTTTCACATGCTTCTCTGCAGAAAAGAGTCTATAGGAACATCTTAATCATTTCTCAGTACACTTCTGGAAACTGGTCAAATAATTTGGTGACGAGTTTGGTATAAAAACATCTATAAAGCTTGACGGAGCTCAATTCACTGTAGTTGTCAGCCAAGGCACTGTATGTTACATCAACATGGACTGAATCCAGATGCCTGCAGAAACTGTTTAATTCAATGCTGCAGGTCCATTTTTCTTTTTATTGTTTCTTTCTTTTTTTATGTGAGGACATTAAGACTTTTCCCCAGGCCAAAGGGCCCACACCCTAGTTAAAAATAATAGGTTTGAGCTTCTTTTAAAATCTGCTCAGATACCAAACCTCTATAATTTCTCAGTTGTGTTCCTGAATATTAAACAAACAGTTATGACAGAAGGCCTGACTATGCCCTTCTTATACTGGTGAAAGTCAAATGACTTCCTATGTTACCTTTATGCAACTTAGATCAGAACTAGGTCCTCTTATCCTAGGATATCAAATACCCTCTTATCTAGCACATTTATCTAATCTCCTGCAGGAAAGATAAAAAGTGCAACTTCTTCTAAAGACATGTCTGCCCAACACCATCATTAAAACCTTATCAGAAAAGTTAAATGAATGCCAAAGACTGCAGCTAGAGGAAGCCTTCAACCCTTCCCTCACAACACTTTCAAGGGCAGATCCCAAGAGGATTTTTACAAGAAGGCTGTTCTCCAGCAATGTATGGAATGGATATACAAAGCATGTATTTCTTTTTCTTAAAATTCTTCTGCTATCATAAAATCTTGTAGGAAGAGGGACAGGGGTTTCCTTTCACAGTCTCTCCTTTGTCTGAACTCTTTTCATTCTGCTACTGGAAGACAGCTACCAGCTTTCTGGACATTTCACTACTGTTCATCTGAGTTATTTACTCTCTAAAATACAAGACTCATTCTTTTTGCTTTTTCCATCTGTGCCCCTAAAGGTCAGAATGCCAAGTAGCAAAGAGCATTACCAGTCATTTCATAAGCATTTGAGTGCCAAAAGTGTGGATCCAACACTGACAGTAGTGCTGAAGAATGCTACCTTTATTGTGTGATAACATATTTTGCTGCTGCCCTTTACTACAGCTTTCTGTAGCTTTGAACAGTCTGAGACTGTGCCTCAGATATATAATGATCTCACTACACTTTTCTCTGAGACACTGTTATTTTTTAAATCTATACCTGCATTTTCTTCAAGGTGTCTGAAACAGGAAAGGACTGAAACCCATTTTCCCACTCCTGGGGTCCTTACAGTCATCCTTCCACGGGTAACTGGACTGTGTCTCTGGCTCCTACCACCACCAGAATGGAAGACAACTCTCCACCTTAGAACAGATAAAATGTAGAGACTTCTAGAAACAATCCTGCATTGTCTTGCCTGGATGGCTCTGGTAGACGCATCATCCACAGACACGTGACAGACCTGGCTGTGCAGGCAACACCGTGTAAGAGTGTCCATAGGGACACTCGGGGCTGCACAGAGCTGAGTGTTGTTCTTCTGCACCAACAAGAAAGAGCCCTAAAAAGAGGTTTCTTTCACACTTTTGTACTTCCTCTCTACAAAGTGTCAGAGGTCAAAGACCAAAAGTCCAAGAATTTTGAGTCTGTGCCTAGTTTCAGCAGAGGATTGCACTGCTGATCTCTGCAGGATGGGCTGGAACATACAAAAAGAGAATTACAAGATAAGAAGCATAAGAGCTTGTAGAAATGCAGATAAAGCAATACTGTTCTTGAGATAAGGAGAAACCAAGGGAACGATCTAAGGAAGATAATAAATGAAAATTAAATAGGTAAAAATATCTGTTGACAATGCTAATTCAGTCTATAAAATGAAACATTTTCTCCTTCTGAAGAAACACAGAATATTTAGCATTGTTCCTGAGATGGCAGAATAAAATACCAATGTGAATCTGAAGTCAGATGCTTAGCTCAGCATGACACTTATTTTTCACAGCAACTTGTGGAGCATGTTAAAAAGCTAAAGGCACTTCAAAAGTAAGGAAAGGAAGAGCCAAAACAAAGCTCACTCTCGCTTCTCTCTTCCCTGAAAATTATCCCAGAGTCACCAGAGAGAACTAGTGGCACTGATCGACAGCAGTGTCGCACATCTGTGGGTGTGAGTAAAGGCCACATGGATTGAAACTCCCCATTCAAAGTTTCAAACTACTGCTGCATCTCACCTTGCTCTTTCTTCATTTAGGAAACCAAGTTAAAACCACTGATGACACTGGTTATTTTTATATTATTGGATGAGCAAGGCAAGAAATACTACAAAGACTGACTTGTACAGCACGATCCACAGAATTTCTGGCCAGTCTCTCAGGAGGGACAAATATTTCTGCCATACACAATAATGCACTGGTAAAAGTAATCAATAAATGTCATGTCTGGAACCCAAACTAAAAACAAGCCTTTTAAAACTGGAACACGTCTGAATGCATTGAAGTAATTCTAGATTTCCAAACAAATTGTTCTTAATGCACTTACGTGGTGGTGTTGGAGGTAGCAGCCGTCTCCTAGGAGATCTTTTTGTATCATAACAGATCTGTGAATCATCTTCCTCAAAAAAACCATGTGGGTGATGGTAACCTTTTGGTCTCTCAAAATCTGAGTCATGGCAGTGATATCTACAGTGGTAATCGTAAATATTCCTGCATTTAAAATACAATAAAGAAAACGTTATCTTAGTGAGTATCTGTAAATCGATCTATAGGTTTTCTTCTAGGAGATTTTCAAGTCTATTCGTTCTCCACCAAACAATTAAGTACTACATTATATAACTGCACCACTCAATTTTAAAACCCAGTTTGTCAATAATTTTGAAACAGTGGGCATACACCTTTGAACTAGTACAGTTACACAGTCAGTTCTCAGGTGAACTTTTTATCAAATTATATTTTCAATTAATTTATTCCTACCAGTACAGGCTAAAATGTAACACTTCAGTTGCACACTGCTTAAATAATAAAATAAATACTCTGTTCTACAGCTGCCATCCTCTCTTGTGAAGCCTGAGTAATGTGTGGGAGCACAGATACTCAGAGAATGGATTTAAGCCTTTTACATTCTGGATACTTGTCATTTAAAATCACATCTTGGAAGGGAGCTATTTGACTCTAGCATATAAAAAAAAATTAGTGACCTGAGAATTCTGCATAGTTTAGCTTTCATGCAAATTCTGGGTTTTATGCAAACCAAGAAGATGCAGATTAAGGTGCCAATCTTGCCAGAATTCTGATGGTGAAGACAGTCAGTATGAGAGGAGAAGGAGAATTAAGCATGTCTGGCACTTGTGCATATGCACTTATGGATCTAAGACAAAATGGTAATAAATTCTTCTGCTTCAAAACCAGGATTCACTTCAAAACAAAAAAAAATATGGATGGAAGTAGAGGTTATTTCTGTTACTGAATTTATCCAGCAGAAGGGAAACATAGCTATTTTAAGGAAGGGAAATACATTCCTGTAAATGCATATGTCTTTTTACAACACAAGGAGAAGATGGATATTATAGAATTTTAAAAAAAAACACCTCAAGATATTTGAGGAAAAGGTGCATTTATTTTTCTTTTAAATAGAAAGTCCTTCAGTATTACCAAATACGGGTTCTGTTCCTTGACAGGTTGATACTCATACCACAGGAATATCAGAACTTCCTCCCAAAGTAGCACCCAAACACTGCCTGAACAACTGGACGCCTATAATTTACAGACAGGAGTAGTCCCAATGCAAAGTCAGGACCTGCCCTGTTGCTGAAGCCATTGCTGCCTGAAGGCGACAGCACAGTGCTCAAATCAAATCTGGGAATGCTCAAAGCTGAACTAACTTGAGAGCCCCTGTCCTAAAGTTAGAAAAACTCACTCCAGTCCATTTCTGAAAAAAAGTGCGGGAAATAAAACTGCAACGAAAAGGTTAAATTTAGCAAAATTAAATCAATGCCTTTTCTTCTTAAACTTGAAATTAAAATATTGAATGCAAAGATCACAGGAGTTAAATAAACTACCAAGTTCATACTCAGTCCAAAGGAACTTTGTCCTTCCTCTGAATTTGGTACAGAAGTTTTGCTGGAGTCAGCACATGATGCCAAACACAAAAGATCTTTTGTACACTCTCTATTCCTTCTCATCATTTCACTTGCCTGCACTTGTGGAATATTAACTTCATTAAAGAGTTTTCAGTATAAGTGTGCTTAGGGAAGCCTTTACAGTATCTAATTTACTGAAATATTTTTCCTAGTTTAAAATATATCCTCACCTGTTTCCTGACAACATACTGTCATCTTCATAATATTCCTCTCCACTGTAATATTCCTGCTCTCCCAAATAATGATCATCATTGCAATAGTCTTGGACTTCATGTTCTTCACGACAAATAGTAGGTCGACGCCCATCACCAGTTTCAGATCTGTAAGTAGCAAAAAAATACTTATTTTTTTCTATTTACATCAATTGTATATTATTTATTTTACACACAGTTCTTTTAATGTGCTTCCAAAGGGAAAAAAAAATAGAAAGAATCATTAAGAACTCTCTAGCTCAGAAGGTGGTGTGATAGTAATGCAGCTCAGAACATGAATAATGTATCTGTTCCTAAAGATGATCTCCCTTTTTTTTCTTATTATACAGAGAAATAATAAGGGGCTGCTCAGGGAAGTCAAATATGTTTTTTATATGTTTTCAACACACACATTCAGTCATTTGAAGAAGCACAGCCTTTCTCAAATGTCTGAAGTTTGTGAAATGGTTCAAATATTATTGAGTTCTTAGTGAGGTCTTCCAAGAAAAATCTGAAATGATATATAAATCTAGACATTAAAACCAGCCCTGGATGTCCATTTATGCACTTCAACTAAAACAACAGATCCTGTTTTTATAAGTTGTCTTGGAAAATATTAAGACATAAGACCAGGAAAGATTTTGGGTCCCCTATAAACAGAACTGTACACATTAACATTTATCAAAGCTAACACCAGTGATTTTCTAGTCTTTGCAAGTCAATTTTTAACAAGGGCCATCATCAGGTGTGATCTTTAGCCTGTTTAAAACTGCAGAAACCTGCCTGGACTTTTAAAAGGACTTGAACAACTTTGAACTTGACCAGACTTTTAGAACAGGCAGCGGAAAATTTGACTTAGAAACTGTCACTTAATTTATTAAACATATGCATTGTCATACAGTTAATTTAGAAAAGAAAAAGGAGGAAAAGGAAAGGAGAAAAACTACTTTGCCCCCTTCAATTATGTCAGAACAATAACAACTCACCTAATATATGTTTCATAGTAGCGTGTTCTATCCAGGTAAGCCATGAAAATGAGAAAGACATTTTAAAAACAAGTCATTAAGAGAAACTCTTTGGTGATTACAATGTCTGTGCTGTAACTGATAATTTCACTTTAAGGAAAACTGCTACTTTCAAACCTTATTAAAGTTCTCTCTATTTTCCATACATCAGAGTTTGATAAACACATCTCATATATCATTAGGCAACAGAAATGGAGTTTCAAATTAATTTCACATAGCATAAGTTTCTTAGAGTGTATTTATAAATTTATTTAAAAGCATTTTGTGAGTTTACCTCCTACTGCTTGGCCTTCTACGCTTCTCGTGCTCAGTTCTGGAGTGAGAACGGTAACTGTTTTCAGATCTGTGCTCACGATTTCCAAAACTTGCGTGTTTTCCATGATGTTTGGACACGTTGGCATTATTGAGATTGGCATTTGTTGAGTTTGGAACGTGCTTTCCTACTGAGTTGTGATGATGATGATGATGATTGTGGTATACAGAGTTTCCTGCCTGGTGATAGATATTTTTCTCAGTATCACTTGCAGGTGGAAATGAAGGCCGCTGAACATGTAAGGGGCGGTGTGTGGTGTTGATCTGTTGAAATGAGTCTCGTCTGTCACTGCTAATATGGTTTATGTGGTTGCCAAAGAGGGCACCATTCCTCTGTTTTAGGAGAAGAGAAAGACAAAATTATATCAGATACTTTAACAGAACATATTTTTGACAGTGACAACTTACTTTTCTCTCCTACATGCATACAAAAGTAGCAACTCAAATAATCTGTGATTTTTCTTTCTAGTTTTATGATGCTTCAGATGGGATCTCCTGAAGTGACACAGGTGTGATTGTGATAATGACAATATTGTATTTCATAGTCAAATCGACACTATGCCGTGATCATTATTCTTTTCCGTACAGCTAAATGTGCCATATCCAGCTTTCTCCACATTTTATTAGGCAGGAGAAACCTAGATTCCCATAGATGAACATGCACCAGCCTCCTCAGAAAGGGACGTGTCTTTGTTTTTGAGAACACTTTGGTGGGATTCTCTCCTGTTCTCCCAGAGCACTGGTTTGCAACAGGCGTCACTCAGACAGGATGGAGTGCCATGCAACAGCTTGCAAGCATAACTCAAGTAGGTAACATTCAGCTTCAGTGCTTCCATTCTTTCTTCTTGAAGAGGTACAAGAAAGAGTAGTTTACTCTTTACCAGCCCTGAGAGTGTAATGGATGGTGAAAGAGAGAATGACGTGCTAAGTTATGACCATGACATGCAGCTCTCTTTTACACCTGACCCAGATAATGTAGCCTCCCTGTCTAGCCAGGTGTGGGTCGTGGATGACAGCAGTCTGTCCTGAAGCTCAATCTAGAGAAGACAGGAGGTAATGATGGTTGGCAGAGAAATGCATCTACTGATGGTAGCTGGGGCACTGCCTCCAGTGCCACATCCTCCTTTTTTGCAAAGGACAGTAGCAAGCTATGGGGCTTCTGATGTAATTCCTGCAGAAGCATGTTTTACATCTGCTTCTTCTGAAATGCTTGGGAAAAATTAAGTTTTCTTGCTGGCTGGCAAATGGTTTGCAGATTGCCTCGGCTTGTAACTATACGTGTTCACCATTAGCACTAAGTAGCACAGAAGAGGAGAACTAATCTTTTATTCTAATTGGTTCTTATTGATATCCCTCACAAGAAACTGGAAATACCATTTATATTTATTTGTCCTCTATGTAATTACAGGCATTCATTTTAAAAGATGCAACTCTGTGTCTGTTGTGTTTTGGCTGCACAGATTTTCATTCTCTTCTTCCTATCTACCACTGCAGAAATTAAGACAATTCCAGTTTACACCATGCCACTATCAAAATTTGAGATGGTAAGGCTCATACATTTTCTTAGGATTTGCCTAAGGAAAAATAAGAATTAATGAGAAAGAACTAGGGGCAGGAGAGTCACCCTGCAGGAACTGTTTCCTAAATTTATGATGAAATGCAAGTGTCCTGGTAATACCATTTTTTTTAGATTTATACATAAAATATAAAGTATTTATATTTTGCTGATTTGAGAGGTTTAGGTATAAATATATTATTTCATATTCAAGGATAAGCTCATTCTTTAATCTCATATTATATGATAAAACAATGCACGTGGTTGTGTTCTGACATTACTTTATAAACATCTTCCTCCTCCTCTGGATTGTTTTCCTCTGGTTCATCATCTTGCAAGTCACAGGATATAGCTCGGCGTATTTCAGGGCCAATATCATGAAGTGTCCTTAGTCCTGCCTAAATCAATGACAATATCATAATACATTAGGAATGCAAATTCTTCGTCGCTCTTTAATTTATTTTAAAGGACAGTTAACAAGTTTTCATATCCTGACATCCACACAGGATGCATCCTACCATAAGTTTCTTTACTGTTTAATAAAAGGCTTATATATTCCAGCACAACCCTGGTGAGGTGATCACGTCTTTATTAGCACAGTGTAGATGCTGACTAAAAGACCATTGAGGTTTATGGACCCTTATAGAAATAGGATTCACCTTATAATAAGGTATCAGCAAGAACTCTAATAAAATGCATTTCGATGAGATGTATATTCAATGTTTGCAGCCTGTGTCCACAAAGGAAACACAGGGAGATTATCGCTACAGCAACAGCAATTTTAGCAGAGCTCAGATGGAAAAGAAAGCAGTGAAATAATTCCAGCTCATCTGCACTGCACTTGGATACACGGATATTTGATTTTAAATTTTAGTTTTGGGCAGAAGACCATTTAGCTACAGCAGCACGGACCTCAGTGTACACCAGTTCACAGTCCTCTCAAGTCTGCCACCACAAGCAACCTTTAGGAAAAGGGAAAATGTTGAGACTTGTCAAGGACAGACCCACACATTAGAGAGGAAACAGAGCTCACACACATGCCAAGAATTCAGGGCTTTTATACAGGCCTGTCTTGCATCAAAGAGGAGACATTTTTCCTGTTTTAACTCTAGTCTGAAGCAAGAAACACAATCTTGTTCTTCCCAACTCCATTTTTTTTATCTCATCAGATTCAGAAGAAATCAAAGATGGGTTTGTTTAACTCTTTTCTACCATTACACTTGTAATACTAAAAATCATGCACAGCACTTGGCTCAATTTTTGATTATTATCTAAAAACCTCACACACATTCACAGGAACATACCACCGCCTCACAGTCGGATTTCCACACAAAACAGAAACGCTGGTTTGATGAGGAGCAAAAAGGCATTTATGAAGTGTGGGCAATCAGAATCTGGAAAGGGATGAACCAAAAACTTTGAATCTAACAGTGTAGATTTACCTCTGCAGGTTTCACTCATGCCAGTGTTTTACCTTCTGAAGAAGGTCCCTGACTGCTCATATTAGCCACATGTATTTGGCAATTAAATTTTCTTCCTCGGGGATGAACTTTGAGATTTACGCTGTAATTGAACAAGGGTCTAAAAATCATTCACTAGTGAGTTAGTTAATATACAATACATTTTCATTTCATGAATACATTGTGCTTTCTCCCACTTCTTATGCTAATTGCACAGTCAAAACCTTAGCAAGGTGGCTAATGGTTGTCACTTTGTAAGGTGCTAAAGGGAAGTAAAATTAACACTTTAAGGTACAGATTTCCAAGTAGAAGACCAAAGGCTTCTATTTCTTTAGCAGAGGCAAAGGCAGTATTTATTTAGCAGAGGACTGCTACTGTTTTTGATCATCAGTAAGAATAGTCACTTGCATTTCACATTCTCTACCTGCTTACTTCATAGCAAACTAAAAAGAACAAAAACACTCAAAGCTACACTGACACTTTAACAGAAAAATACACTTATGAACAGAATACAATGCAAGGACTACTAAAATGAGGAAATAAGCATGCAAAAAAATAGCTGAATGGACCTGGGCTACAGCAGTGAACACAAGAGACACAGCAGTCAGGTCTGGTCCCCAGATTTATTCATCCTCACAGAGCCCATCTCCAGTCCTGACACTGAGGGCACTGCTCTGCAACCACACAAAAGCTCTGGGCTTTCAAGTCCAACCCAGACTGCCCTGGAGCTAAGCCCTCCTGTGAACACAGCACTCTCAGACAGCAGTATTGTAAATCTGAACCCTGACAAAAACCACCAGCTCATATTCCTGTCTGCCAAATTGTGACTAAGTCGCACAAATATATGCCTAGAACCTGACAAAAGCCACGTTTGACAGCAACATATTGAATGATAATTTAATTTTGATTACATTTCCAACTGCCTTCTGGTTTACCTCTTGGTGAATTACCCCTCCTTTACTCAAGAGAAAGCAGGCAGCCTCCTCTATCATCTCATCTCTCTCCAGTAACACTCATTTCCATGTAACAGACCTCTTGCAATGACACAGTCAACAGTGGGAAACAAAAACCTGGATCACCGCATGTAAAAGGGCATGGTAGTTACTCTAAACCCATCAGCCTTTTCACTTGCAGACAATACTGAAGCCACAGGCTCTACAAGCAACATCTGTCAGCAGAATTAAAATATTCCTCAGCTAATTTGCTCTAACAGAACCATCTACCATGATTTTATTAAGTCTTCCATTAAAATGACTGCTGCCATGTACAGTCTCATTTTACCTGGTGCAACCTAACACTGTTCTTGGCAACCTAAGAAACATTTTTTATGATGGGAGCACCACACAGTGAGACAAATTCTCATGCTGAGGTCTAATATAAGACAATCCTTCATTACATCAGCCAGCTACCACTGAAGTGGGGCTGATGTCAAAATTCAGGTCAGTAGGAGAATCCCTTCCCTGAACCACATTTAATGTTTTCTGTGAAGCCTGGAGAGGCAGCAGGGGCTGACCAAACATTTGACTTTACCTGCAAGCACTTCAGGACCATATCAAAGATCTCTTCCACAAAAAGAGCACACGCAAAAATCAAACCAGCCTTCCTCACATCTCTTCATTAGTTTACAGGGAAGAAGGGTCCTTTGGATATTCCCCTACATAACACTGCAACTCAAGCCTACACAGCAAGAATCCTACAGACATTATAACACACCAGAGCGCAACGGGAGCACACCGTGTCCTCTATTTGTCAGGTTCTAAAAACTCCTACATTTAAATCAGAGATAATTGTTAAAAACTGAATAGATGGGACTTTTCAGAAAAAGAGAGCCAGGATAGTGATTTGTCTCCCCTTGCCAGAGGTGTCCTTGTTTCTTTTTCACTGTGACTGCTTAAGTTCTTAGGAGGCAGTTATTACTCTAAGTAGAACTCTGTAAGACTTTTTCTTATTGCATACAGTGATTCAAGACTAGCCACATTCCTGAAGCATCATGCTATAATGACTTCCAAAAAAAAAAAAGTCAAATTTCAGTGTCATACAGAAATTACTTCCTCCCAGTCTTTGATCATGGTTGATCAGAGCTGCAGGAGAAAGGAAACCACAGCCAAATCCTCTTTCCCCAAACAGAATGATAAGCAGACATTAAAGACCAATATAAGAACTTTCCTAACATTGCCTTTGGTTGGTAAATATAACTGGAAGGGTTACAGTCTCTTGTCACCCTTACATCCTTAATTTTTTTATCCCAAAGTTTTAATTCCTGAAGATTCTCTCATGTCCAGAGAATTCTCACTGTTCCTTAAAGGAAACTCCAAGGTTATTTTATGCCATTTCAGTAGTAAAAGTCACCTTTCTCTTTTTTTCCCTAAAGAATTGGAAATGTGAATAATAAATATTGATTTATTTTTCCTATTTTTTGAGGACAAAATACAATTCTCATCATTGCAAAAAGCAAGGAGCCAGTCCTGCCATCATATATACATCTAATATCCATCTCAGCTCACCAGTCTCAAAACCTGCCTGGCTCACAAGGCTGTTACATCAGTCAGGTGGGTCACATTTCTTACACAATGTATTTAATAATCCCACTATATTGCAGAATACAGAATCATTCAGTTCTGTTCATCCCTAACTTTCCAACACAGAGTATTATTATTTATTATATACAAATGTATAAGGCTTAAGAAAGATGAGATGAACCAGTCCAATGGTTATTTAGCAAACCAGTGACACACACAGCGCTGAACAACATAATTACATGAGAAACCCAGGCATGCCTTCAATTAGGCCTCCCCATAAATGCACGAGATGATTCAAATGAGGATGGTAATTCTGAGCAGCTGTGCTTCAGGGGGCACAACAGCACCTGCAGGGTCCTCAGGATGGCACGAGGCACGGGGACTCCAGTGCTGGGTCCTAAACAGCATCTCAAGAGACAAGGAATGATGCCCCTGTCTCTGACACACCATTGACATGACATGTATGTGATTCCAAATGTTGGAATAACTGAACTGCACGAGTCCCTCAGGGAGAGAAAAATGTCATATGGCCAATAACTGTATCCCTGTATTGGTTATTAAGAGAGAGACTCTCTCAGAGGCTTAAGAAGCACCTCACACCAAAACATCAAAACATTTTAAAGTTAAACATTCAAATATTTTGAAAAGGCTGTTTATAAAAAATGCCAAACACATTTTAAATCAATTTTTCCATGTTTCTAGTATGCACAAAACAGTAACACCATTCTAGATGCATGTCTCACATTAAGAAATCTGTGTATAATGCAAGACTCCAGTCATGACTTTTAGAAAAGTGTTTAAATGTTTATAAATACTGGAACTACAAAAAGATCATTTTCCCTGTAGCTAAACTCAGTCTGCAAGCATTGTGAGGTGTGGTCCAACCTCATACAGATGCAATCTAAGCTTAGATTAAGAAGTGTAAGCACAATACCCTTATTTAAACAGTAAGAATCATTATGTTCTAAACTATTTCCAGTCACATAAAATACACAATGGTCCCTCTTTTGAGGCATCTTAGAATGATATCAGGAAATGGAAAACACTGGTAAGCTTTGCTTCACAGCCTTCTTTAGAACAGTAATGTATATTTATGTATATTGCTATATAAAGTCACTAGATCTGGAACAAGTATAAACATTTATTCTAAATACTTAGGTCTTCAGAGCTTCAGAGTCCTGAAAGCCTATGACTCCAAAAATGTTCAAATAAACCCTTACATTTGTAGATAATAAACACGTTTAATGCTTATTTTATAGCAGAGAAAACTAAAAAGAACATAAAATCTCAAAGCTACGCTGACAACACAAAAACAAACTGAGGTTAGCACGAACACAACACAACACAAGGATTACTAAAACAAGGAAATAAGCATGCAGAGAAAGAGCTGCATAGACCTACACTATAGCAGTGAACATAAGAGACATAGTAGTCGAGTCGTGATTCCCCAGAGCTGCTCATCCTCCCAGAGCCCGGCTCCCAGCACTGAGTGCTGCTCTACAACCACACAAAAGCTCTGCTCTCAGTCCAACCCAGACTGCCTTCCAGCTAAGCCCTCCTGTGAACACCACATCAGCATGGGAGCACAAATCAACTCAACTGGAGCAACAGATTAACCCCCTCAGCTGATGCCTACTGGAGGGTTGTTTTTTTTTCCTTTTTCTATTAATGTTCACTATGGGGTTAACGTTAGTTATAACATCTGCAGAGAGAAAAAAGCATAATTAATTTAATCTGAAACAGGATTCTAAAAATCAAGTTCAGCGCAATAAATCAGTGCTTTTGTGTAGGCAGCAAGGGAAATATCCTTTAACTTTTATTTTTGTGTATTAACAAAAAGTGTTACTTGTAAATAAATGTGAAATATAGCTGCAAATGTTACATAGTTTACAGTATTTTCCTATGAAAAACAATGTGGAATAATTAATTTCCCCCAAGTACTAGATGAAAGTAATTAAAATTCTTCATGCTTCACTTAACATTTATTTTACTAGCAACGTGACTACTGTTTGGCTCAATACAAATTTCCATCATTACACAAAGATATCTCTTTCTGACCCAGAAAATATCTTTGTTCTCACTGGGTAAGTATCAGTCATAGCATAAGAATGGCACCTTTTTTCTTGTGACCTTGGAGCATGTATAACACCACAAAAATGGCAGTAGATATCTAACATAAACTGGACATCTGTCATTTCAGAGCTATTTGTTTTTTCCCCTTCATAAGGGGTGAAAACCACTGGGTCTGCAAAAAACAGACAGTGGAGTTCGCAGGGAAATCGTTATTGCAGTTCTGAAGATGTTTGGGGTGCCAATATGCAAGTTTAGAGAAACTGCTGTTGGTTATAATCTGAAGTGCCCTTTTCTGAGTGAGGAGGAATTTGAAACTTGACAGCAAAAAGGTTTTCTTGACTTAATAGTCTGGGCAGATGATCATTCCCCTGAGACCCACTTCACTTTCTAGGCTGCCTCCTCCTCTCTGACACGTACCCAAACAGCAGCTCTGTCAGGCTAACAGCAAATGCTACATCCTTGAGGAAAACCTGAGCTCTACAGAATAAAAATCACCCCAAATGAAGTTACTGTGGGCTAAGAAGGGGAATTCCTGCCTCCTGCACGCTCTGGTACTCACAAAGCAAATCTAGTTTTGCAGGGAGCTCTGCTCTAATTTTCTGACTCTACCCCGTCTATGTTAATCTAAGTCATTCCAGAGACAGCAGCATGAGAGGTAAATGTTTTAAACAGTTTTAGCAAAAAGCAAGGCATCCAACTCCCTACCCTAGATTATAACTAAAGGAGTATTTAAAAAAAAAAAAAAAAAAAGTAAGCGTAACTCTCTTTAACTCTCTTGGAAGAACAGTGCCTTAGGCCATTTGACAGTGACAGGATTTCTCTTCAGTATCTTCAAAAATACGAAATGAAATTATTGTAAAAAATGAAACAAACCAACCTTCAAAACCCCAACAAAATATCACTGAGAGCACGGGGCATAAAGGAAGGCAAAGAAGTGATCTACATTAAAAAGATCTATTGGATTCTCATACAACAGGGAAAACAGCAACACCCATTAATTTCTTGACTAACAGTTGTCCTGAGAACTAAAACCCATGGCATTTTGTCACAAGGAGCATGTGCCTTGTCTCTCACAGGGGTTGTTTATTCTCTGAAGGCAGGGAAAGTGTAACATGGCCAACTGTAAGAATCAGCAGGATTATAAAACTGTGACTCATCTCCTGCTTCATTCAACAGTTAGGAAGGGATTGTAAAGCCTGATAGCAGGTTGTTTTCTGCCTTTCTCGCAGGAGGAAGGAGATAAGGAAAGCCAGGCTAGATAATGTAGGCACTTCATGGTTTATTAGATCCTTAAGAACCATGTTCTTCACTAACTAGGTCAACAACCCCAAGAGGAAGTTACAGGCATCAGCAAAAGTACAAGAGCATTTACTGCTCATATGGCTTCAGACACAAACTGGAACAGGTGACATTTGTCAGTTGGTCTTGTTCTTTACAAATGGAAGAATGAGATGGCTGGAAAGCCTTTTCTTATTAGCCTGATAAAAGTACTTTCCTCATGTTATTTAAAGCTTTAAGCAAACAATTCCTAGTATAGAAATGTTCTTAATGATAGAGCTCAAAAAATCACAGACAGACATAGCTCAGCTTCTGCTGTTCTCATCTCCCCAGCAGTCCAGAAATTAGAGGCTGTTTGCAGTGGGATTATCACGACTCCAGATACTGTGAAATCTTAACTAGTTTATAGAAAGTAAATAAAAGCTGCTGTTGCAGTAACATGCCCACCCTGACTACAGGAAGTTTCTAATTTCGAAAAGGAAGTTCTCAAAACAAAACAAAACAAAAAAAGGTAAACACCACCAAAAATGTCTACAGAACTGAGAAATAGGTTGGATGGTATACCCGTAAATTACGCTGCCTAAAAAAGTTCCATCTTTCCCTCTACTTTTGTCATTGAACAGGAAGCGTGATCTGGTAACAAACAACAGAGCACACTCACACAGGAAAACTCAGTCTTTGTTTCTACGTTTTTATGGGTGAAACTTCAAAAACACAAGTGGAAACCTGTAATACTGTGGCTTAAAACTAACTTCGAGCTCCTCATGTTCAAACGTTTCTGCAATAAAGAAGTCTGCAAAGGCCTTCCTAAAAGTTCAGTGTCTTTCATTTTCCTCTCAACTGTTCCCAGTCTTTTTATTGCTTCTATTCCCAATAATTTTCTTGTCTTTCATACTATGCAAATATAGTTCGTACATTTCCTGACAAGCCATTTGCTCACAAATCATTAACAAGAACTGTGATGAACCTTTCCCTGTTTGCTGCATTTCTTATGCTTGTGGTGACTTGGGACACAACATATGTCAGAATTGCCAGCAAAGACATTCTTAGGATATAGGAATGAAATAAATTAACCAATTCACACAGCAAAGATTGTTCTGCTGGACTAAAGTATAAACCAACAGGATTTTTAAACAAAGAAAACAGCAGCTAAATCAGGTTAACACATTTCTCCTCTTTTAGAAAGGGATTTTCATAACATATCGCTAAATTTTGGCATCAGAGTAAAAAATTATCAGAAACACTAGAAGTATTTATTATTTGTAGTAAACTACTCAGCATTAACTGAAATTCAGCAAGTCTCAATCCAGTAAAAATGGTGCAGTGTATGATGTCTGGAATTATTTGAGAACAGCCTTCCATTTGCCTGTTTCAAAATTCATAATAGAAAGGGTACCACTGGACAGAAGTTTTCAGAATATGCCCTTTAGATCACGTGTACTGTACGGACTGCTTGCTGCAGGCCTGTTGACAGACAGATCTATTGTCCTGGTTTCCATTTGATAGCTTGTTTTAAGAGACAGACAGAAGTGTGTGACATTAATGCAGTATGCTAAGATTACTTCCTATGAAAGAAATTGATGAAAGCAGAATTCCGAATTTGCAAATAAAAAATAGGAAGGTTTTTCATAAGTAGTCATAAGTGGAAAAGGAAAGGAACAATGAGAATTAAGAAGAGAAATGATACTGTATAAAACCTTCTTTATTATGAGGTCATGCATATTAGGAAGTTCCCTGAGAACTGGCTTATGCCATTGTAGGAACACAAAATATTAAAGAGTTAAAGCAAAACAAACATAAATGATAGCTCAGAATTTTATTTATCCAATTCTTTACCAGCAACTTTAGATTTTAACGTATCAACAAGACTTGCTAAGAGATTTTATAACCCTTGCTACTGTTGGAGCAATCCATAGAGAATAATTTTTGCACTTACCTTGTTATAACAGAATAGCAGGATTAGGTTTAACTTTTCTGACGAATAAGGGCCAAAAGTGTCCCAGCTAAATAAAATCTTGGCAGCATTGCACAAGCATCAATATTCATCTACCTGCTATTTCAAGTAAGGTCACAAAATGGTTAGTTAAAAATGTAAAAACAGAATCACCTGCAGAGCAATCGTGGTATTCTTCGCAG